ATGTAGACAATATCGCTTGAGGCATCGGCTGCTGGGAGCTGATTATGACCTAAATACCCCTCATAGCCTTCGGTGTTAACTATGTGACTGTAGAGAGATGTGCCTTCATCCAACAGATTATCGAGGTCAGTGGAACACGGTATACAGACGCAAATATGTTTGAGCCATGGGACACAAAATATATGAGTGACCAGAACTACGGCTGTACATTGAATTCCATTAAACGGTTGAAAAATACTACAGCCTTGATGCAAATTCGCCGACACACTACTCCGATTTTGCTTTGACTTTGCTACCAAACGTTTCACGTGTGGCTATGTGCGGTGCACTGATTAAAAAAACACGGAGGACTGGGTTAATTCAAAATACGGAACATAACTATTCCAAATATTTCCAGTGAACATGAGCATCCAAACAATCAAAAGTGTGGTATGTAAAATGTGAAATTCAGCCATATTACATTTATATTGAGATGTCGTCGTTGTTCATGAATAAGCATATTCAGAACATATTTTACATTATGCTGTTATTTACGATCTCCGGAGTACAGTTCTTCTTTTGTATACACCGTGAAAATCAGGAAAAAAGGACATCGGATCAACATGAATGGTTTAATAATGTCACTAATGACCAGAAACGGTCGGATGCATCAATTAACTACATAAAGACGATTTGAAGTATCTCTTATTGCTGGAAAAGAATAGCATCAACATTCCACGCACATGATTTGTATGTTTTGTTTCCGTAAATGCGTGGTTTGAAATTTCAAATAAACCAACATGTCGACAAACATGCTACAAAATTAATGTTTCCCGTATACTTGCCCGCCTTCAGGGCGGGGAAGAATAAACGAGATCTGTATATTTCTTAGTTCTAACATATGGTATACGGAAACACAAGAGGGTAATAATTTCCTTCTCGTGTAATGTCATAAATATACCCGAAGTTTACGACGCATTTTTACTCAATAAAGTAACTTTCGAAATTGCAGTGCAAGTTTTGAGCGAACCGCACCATTCATCACTTTGAGCCAACTTATTTGAATGCAGTCAAGTTTGAAACACCAATTAACACAGCGGGAAACCCCTATCCAAACGTATTATATTAAGAACGTCAGTCAATAATTTATTGATTAAGCAGACATTGTATCAATGTGTGGGTCAAAAGTAGTTCCTGACAGGTAGCCTCGCTTACATGTTTATCGGATCATAATACCAGGTTTAATAGGATTGGCTCTTTGCATTGATACACTTTTCAGCATAATACTAAATTGTTTTCGTGACTGGTTCCGCCATTTTTAACAGGCGTTGTAACTGAACAATATATGTGCACTGTTCATGTTTAGACCTTCACGAATCTTTCAACTATGATTTGTTACTTATTTGTAACATTAGCTTTAAAAATGACAACATTCGTAATTCAGTAATAAATTCTACTAATGATTAATAATAATGGGATATAGATCTACATATTAAGCATAATTTTTGAACCTATGCATTTCCTTTCGTGCCATAATTCGAATTTTGATTCAACCAATAAATACAAATTTTCATAAGAAATAACAGCTACGGGAGTACCGTTCAGGTGCTGTACGGAATTAAAATACATGTACGATATTAGAAGAAATAGCGTACGATATTACAGTCACACTGTACGAATTTAAGCGATCGTTATTGGCCTCCTTTGACTAAACGAGTGGTCAAAACGGAAATCGGAATGTACAACCGGTTTAATGGGGTCGCAAGATGATTAGATAACCTTTCGTTTGGTATGCCCCATGACACAGTATCTGCATACAAAGCTTAGTGATTGAGATCGGCGACCAAAAGTGTACGATATTCGGAGAACTGCCTTCTAGATTTATATCTATGCTATCGATAGATCTATCTATATCGATGCTGATACGTTCATACAGATATGCCCATACCTATAGATTTATGCTGATATGTTCATACCTATACGTTCATACAGATATGCCCATACCTATAGATTTATGCTGATATGTTCATACCTATACGTTCATTTAGATATGTCCATACCTATAGATTTATGCTGATATGTTCATACCGATACGTTCATACAGATATGTCCATACCTATAGATTTATGCTGATATGTTCATACCGATACGTTCATACAGATATGTCCATACCTATAGGTTTATGCTGATATGTTCATACCGATACATTCATATATATGCGAAGTCATATTAATATCATGTTAATATCAATATTTTAATACTGATGTGCATGATCATGTTCACAATAATACGTTCAAACAGATACGTTCCTACGTTCAGGGGCGGTCGGGTAGCCTAGTGGTTAAAAGTTTCGCTCGTCACGCCGAAGCCCCGGTTTCTATTCCCGACATGGGTACAATGTGTGAAGCCCATTTCTGGTGTCTCCCGCCGTGATATTGCTGGAATATTGCTAAAAGCGCCGTAAAACCACACTCACTCACTCACTCTTCTTGTGATGATTATAATCATGATGAAAACGATACAAAATAAGAATTGTAATAATAATAGCAGCATTACTCTTGATGTATGCGATTGCTACAGGAACGATTGGCTGAAGGCAGCAAGAGTTGGAAAGTGTTTGTCGATGTGATGGTTTTCATTCACCTCTCAGATTGTTCATTAACCTGCTCGATCAGTCGTCTTGGTTTTTGCAATTCGCTGTGTAGAACTAGGGGTGCCGGTAACCTGTGGCTATGTGTTGGAATCCAAGATTCTCTCTGATTATGTTTGTGATATACGTCTGAGACTTGCATCTCTTGGCGCTATCCTCCCACAAAGCAGCGTTAGGCCCAACTAACTAGGATTGTTGCTAAAAGAGGTTGGTTTCGCTGCAAACAACACGTTTGGTTGATAAGCAGATGACAACAGCCCCGCTCGTGTCTCTCCTGTTGTATCGGTGTGGGAATTATGTTGACATGCAGCCAGAGAAATACTGAATACAATTGTTTTGTTTCAGATCCACCGAAAGGGCAGGAGTACTGCACCAGAGGATAAAAGGACAGCATTATAATAATAATCAGACCCCGAGTAAAAATACATGTACCATGATGATTTGTTAAACACGCCAGCCACACCCCTATATACTTATCAATGACGTCATGGAATAATAACATTGCTTGCATTCTGTTCTTGCTCACGTTCCATATAAAATCCATTTTGGCATACTGTGTCATATGATTGCTTGTGGAGAAGTCAGGCAAGTCATCTAGTAGATACGTCATCTACTCAGGCAAGTCAACTGGTATATACGTTATCTACTCAGGCAAGTCAACTGGTAGACACGTTTTCTACTCGTGCAAGTCAACTGGTAGATACATAATCTACTCAGGCAAGTCAACTGGTAGATACGTTATCTACTCAGGCAAGTCAACTGGTAGATACGTTATCTACTCAGGCAAGTCACCTGGTAGATACGTTATCTACTCAGGCAAGTCAACTGGTAGACACGTTATCTACTCGTGCAAGTCAACTGGTAGAGACGTTATCTACTCAGGCAAGTCAACTGGTAGATACGTTATCTACACAGGCAAGTCAACTGGTAGAGACGTTATCTACCCGTGCAAGTCACCTGGTAGAGACGTTATCTACTCAGGCAAGTCAACTGGTATATACGCTATCTACTCAGGCAAGTCAACTGGTAGATATGTTATCTACTCAGGCAAGTCTATATACAATATGTATTCAGTAAAGTCAACTGGTGTATACATTATATACGCTGACAAGTGAACGGGAATATCCATTATCTACTCAGTAAAGTTAACTGATGTAAACATTATCTACTAAGTAACATATATATCTGGGCAAGTTTTCATAAGTTGAAATAACGGAAAATATGACTTTCTAGTCTGTAATGAAATAATCTCACAAGCTAAAGATCAGATTAACCTTGAAGAACATATAATGCGACATGTGACATTGCTGAGATTTCTTTAGATTCATAAAACCATTTTCCCACTTTGTTAGATACCCATAATTTCTGAAAACATAATATTTGACTTCCATAATATTCAATCCTTACCTGTTTTACCCATTTATTACAAAATAATTCTAATACATCTTTGCAAATCTATCAACGAGTCTGCAAGTAGGACAATACCATCTGCAAAGAGCAGCAGCTTAATTGTTTCAATAACTTCACATGCAAAAGGTTCCAGACATTCACTTGCCTCAACATCAGACACTAATTGATTGTCATTAAGGGGACAAACAATAATGGGCTCAACATACAGCCTTGTCTTTCTCCACAAGAGGTGTTAAAACACCCGATCCACTTTGACTTATTTTCACACATGCACACACATGTTAAAACATTTTTTCAATAACTTTATACATTTTGCAATGAAGGCCTTTTGAATAGGTACATGCAACAGTTTCTTTATATCACAAAATCAAACGCCTTTTTAAAATCTATAAACGCGGCAGAAAAGCGATGTTTTGGTTTTCTTAAATACTTTTGACAGAATGCCTGCAAAACAAAAATATTATCAGTTGTTGAATTATCCTCTCTAAATCCAGCTTGGGATTCCGAAAAGATCTCGTTGATTACAGCCAATGACCTGAGTAGTTTAACCAACAATAATAAATAATTTTCCCATTACATTTAGGAGTGATATGCCTCTATAATGCTTCGGATTTGTTGAGTCAACAGATTTATATAAAGGAATTACAGGCCCAATAACCCAGCACAAGTGAAAATCCCTTTCTGTAATTTAGCATTGAAAAGTAGATTTAAGTATGGGACAATATTTGCATAATACTAGTATTTGTAGAACTCGGCGGTATTCTATCCGACCCAACTGCCTCACTCAAGTTTAAAGTTTTCAGTACTTGCCTTATTTCCTCATCTGTTATCATATCTGATTGGTTGGTTGATTTGTTGTTTTACGCCGCACTCAGCAATATTCCAGCTATATGACGGCGGTCTGTGAAATAATCGAGTCTGGACCAGACAATCCAGTGATTGACATCATGATCATCGATCCACGCAATTGGGATCGATGACAAGCACCAACTAAGTCAGCGAGCCTGACCACCCGATCCCTTTAGTCGCCTGTTACGGCAAACGTTTGTTGCTGAAGACCTATTCTACCACGGATCTTCACGGATCCAATATGATCAGACAGTGGCCCTGTCCGGGCGTTGAAATCCCCACCTATGGCGACTAACGGGATCGGGTGGTCAGGCTCACTGACTTGGTTAATACATGTCATCGATCCCAATTGCGTCGATCGATGCGCAGGATGTCAATCACTGGATTGTGTGGTCCACACTCGACCGCGTCGTATAGCTGGAATATTGCTGAGTGCGGCGTTAAACAACAAACCAACCAACTTAAACACCAAATGTTTTCTTGAGAATAGTCCAGAATTCAAAGAACAAATGCCCAATTTGTTGCGTCCTAAATTGCTCCAGCTCTTACACATAAGGGGGTGGTTCTCTACATGCATTTGTAACACCGTGATAAGAAAGTTTCTTACAAATAGACAAACATCTGAAGCAAAAATACGTAATTTTGTTGCTGCCTAAATATAGGCACATTATCGCCAGCCCAAGAACAAAGATACCAATAATGTAGGTGCTTCCGGTCGAGAAGACCCCTACTCCACCATTAGCTGAGCATGAGGGAGTGTCACAAAACTTCGGAATGCACTTGTCATTTTTAACCCATGTGCACTGAGATGGGTTTAGTTTGAAACAACAGTCGGCAGGGCAGTTGTCAGTGGTTTCCCCATCATCGCATACTCCATTGTAACAGGACTCAGGCATGGAAGAACTCGATGGGTCTACAACTTGCAAATTTAAACCGCTGCTCTGGAGACTGTAGAGCCTCTTACAGTGTTTTTCGAAACAGGAAGTAAACAGAAAGCATGTTCCAGGAATGTCCAACCATTTGCTAGGTTTGCATGTGTTCGCCACATTACCCTGCCCCGTACACCCACCACAGGCAAATGACGACACAATCACCCCGTGTCCGTTGTCTGTACCTCCGGAGTTGCAGTAGCTCGCACTTGATGCTCGATGGTATGTTCGTCCATCGCAGGAGGAGTCGGTGTCGTTGATGTTGTTGCAACAAGCGTAGTAATGAACTCGACTACTTCCACCTCTGTTGAAGGAGAGGCATTGACCTGGACAAAAAAAAAGACAAAACTTGGGTCAGTGATGTGCGAGAGCTCTTCTTGTGTGTGGCTATCACAATATGTTCTTGATGTATAAGACATATGTCAGAAAAGTTGTGCTCAAAGGATACAGTTTGTCATCGATAAGAATGCTACAATAGTATGTGAATCTAGGAAGCTGACTTTTTTTTTTGTTTCGAATCGTTGGTGAGTACATTATCTGTCTGCAGTAACGACTGGATAATTTTGACGTTTACTGTTCTATTAATATCATCTGAACTCCACTTAAGAATAAATACAGGAAGGGGGGAAGCGGGGAGGTGAAATTGGGTTCAACATCACGTTCATGATTATTGCACTTACATAACGATGTTCATGCACCTGTGTGTTTGCGTGCGCGCGCGCGCAGGCGTGCGTGTGTGGTGTGTGTGTGGCTTTTTCTACTAGTCCGGATTAATGCCTAGTTTATGGTGCTCGCCCACTGAGATACCATGCCGCTGTTTAACATGAAGACTAATTTATGCCGAGGCCAGGCGGGGTAACAACAAGTACAACCTTTTTACGTATCTCGGTATGACAGGGTCGGGGATCGAACCATCAAAACCCTATGGGCACACCCTCTGTCCTCTAGACCACGGAGGTGGTCTATGAAGACAGAATATGTCAGGTATGCCATTTCCTTCTCGTGTGTCCTTTTGTTATACTCCAAACTGAAATAACATCCGTGCAGATATATATAATGTTACAGTTCTCAGAAATAACCTGATCTTGTTGAATGACTGCGAAGATGAAGCAAGAAGCACTTCACACAAAAGACCCGTGAAGATTCCGGGGTAGAATAGGTCTTCAGCAACCCATGCTAGCCGTAAAAGGTGACTATGCTTGTCGTAAAAGGCGACTAACGGGATCGGGTGGTCAGGCTCGCTGACTTGGTTGATGCGTGTCATCGATCCCAATTGCGTGGATGGATGCTCATGATGTCAATCACTGGATTACCTGGCCCAGACTCGATTATTTACAGACAGCCGTCATATAGCTGAAATATTGCTGAGTGGGGCGTTAAACATGAAACCAATCAACCAACCAGCCACTGCACACAAAAGGTAAGAATGGTTTTATTTACCTGACAAGGGGCGGTCTCCAGACTTTCGTTTCACTCGTACATGTATATGTTCATGTGCGAAAACAATGCACATGAGTGATGAGGTAAACAAAGCCAATTGAATTGTCAGCCTTTGAGAAGTCATGCTTGTTCTTCCGAACAGCCAGGGCCCATGATAGGGGAAAACGTCTTTAATCTGAAATATAAATATACATTTACTGTTGTGTTTTGAAACACTGGTCTGATGGCCAGAGCATCTGCCCGGAGAGTGGAGGATCGGCGGTTCGATCCCCGGCCACGTCTAACCTAAAGGCCTTAAGAGAGACCCGTGAAGATTCCGGGGTAGAATAGGTCTTCAGCAACCCATGCTTGCCGTAAAAGGTGACTATGCTTGTCGTAAAAGGCGACTAACGGGATCGAGTGGTCAGGCTGGCTGACTTGGTTGATTCATGTCATCGATCCCAATGGCGTGGATCGATGCTCATGATATCAATCACTGGATTGTCTGGTCCAGACTCGATTATTTACAGACCGCCGTCATATAGCTGGAATATTGCTGAGTGCGGCGTTAAACAACAAACCAACCAACCAACCTTAAGAGATGTTGCTTGTTGTTACCCTGCCCGGCGCTCAGCATTTAAGGGATAAAACAAAGACTGGACCCAAGAGATGGACGACAGACAGGCATTAGTCCCGACTTACACACACACACACACACACACACACACACCTATATATAAGTGTAGTATTTCTTAACGGGACGTTAAACCCCATTTATTTTTTGTCCCATTATATACATTCATCATCAGGTTTCGTATCGGCGATGGTAGAACGGTCCCCGGATTTTGCAGAATAAGTATTTTCGAGGTACTCACAGGTGTCCTGACCCGTGAATAGTTGGGGTAAAATAGGTCTTCAGCCACCTAAGCGACTATGCATGTCGTAAGATGCGACTAACGGGATCATTGGATTGTCTGGCCCTACCGTCGTCATATAGCTGGAATATTGCTGAGTGCGGCGTTAACAACAATTAAACAAACAAACACGTATTAAAAGAAGCTTGATCCAATCAGTATGCATGCAAAACCTCCTGACGTTGATTTTAACCTTTCCACACAGTTCTGCTACTGTACAGATCACGTTTTATGCACGGAGTTCGCCGTACCGGTTCCCGGGATGGATAAGCCTTGTATCAGTGTGTTCAGTCCTTGCCTAGTCGACCGCCTCCGTAGTCTATTGGTAGAGCGTCCGCGCGGAGAGCGGAAGGTCCGGGGTTCGATCCCCAGCCGCGTCATACCAAAAGACGTTAAAAGTTGTTACGCTGTCTGGTGCTCGGCATAAGGGGCTAAAACAAGGACTGGTCGGCTCGGAGTCAGTATAGTGTGTCTGAGTGGGGTATTCATGTTACACTGCGGCATGGTATCTCAGTGTGCTAGTACTATAAATCGGCATCAGTCGAGACTAGTACAAGCAGCCACACACACACACACACATACACGTGCATGCACGTCGCTATATCTTGGACGCGACGTTAAACCCCATTTCACCTCACCTCGTCTTGCCTATTCTGTCTTACAGACCCCGATATAAATATATCCAGTACAGCCCATGCAAGTCTATAATGTTTGGCAAGTCTAGATCACTTCAGTATCTGAAAATGAAGAGAGTCTCTGTGCTCCTTTTATATATTTTTATTAAGATAATTTAACTTTTTTCTGTAAGATATGTTCATTTCAGAGACTAGATGATAAGCGTTATCTCGGCGTGTACAGCCCTTGCCCTCAACGAGTTGCCGAGGACGCCATGTCATGAACTGTAATGTAGTCTACAAACAGCAACATTCTCGAGCTTGCACTGACCTGGATTTTACAGCTTCGCCGGGTCACAACAGCATCGGCTGTGTGCGAGGGATACAAACGACGGCCTTTCTTGCGTATGTTCTACTTGTGCATTACACGCAACACAGTCGAACACTATCATTGCGTCTCTCTGAGGTATTGTCGAGTTCAATGATGTTCGTATTTCCAAGAAGAGCCTGTTTCCATGGACACAGGGACAAGTTTGACACAGAGGTCACAGTGCGGCGTTATTGCTTGCCGAGAGACAGTTTACAGTTATTACAGTAGGATGCATCACACATTTATGAGATGTGAACAAAATACATCTCATAAATCTTCATAAGTATAGTTTTTAAAACATCCTAACTCTAAATGTCAACACTAAGCGGTTTTGTGTTTATCGAGCGCAGTGATCAGAGGGGAACAAGGTCTGTGTGACCTATTTCCTCAAACTGCGCTTTGCTCTACAGCACGGAGACGTCAGCCGGTTTCCGTTTAGCGAGGCGAGCTATTTTGGGCAGCGTGAACAGTAAGCATTGGGAGATAACTGTTGTTGAGTAGTGCGCTTCATGGTAAATCAAACATAGTCACTCAGACCGTTGTGGGTTTCAAATCTACCAATATCTGCGTGTCTCAACTGATCTCTTTCATTATAAATATTTTTTGTTGGTTTGTTTAACGCCGCACTATTCCAGCTGTATGAGTGCGGTCTATAAATAATCGAATCTGGACCAGACAATCCAGTGATTGACATCCTGAGCATCGATCCACGCAATTTGAATTGTCGAATGCAGGTAGACTATACTAGTATATCAGTTGGGAAGTAAATCTTATAAACACAAAAAGGAACCCTTATGATTTCAGATATTGTAAACAAAAGGGTTGCGTTACAAGGGGCTCATTGACAAGGAAGCACACTGATCGGTTGTAAACCACAACTGGTAGTAATTGGTCAACATGTACCGTTGAACCCCTTTACATGTAATGGTTTTGGGTTTGGTTTGCACTGCAAACACGAAAACGTCGTTTTTTTCCGTATATGGTCATTGGACGGAAAAACGACTAAAAATTCATTAAAATTGATTAATTGGTCAGCGTCTAGAAAGTGTCCAGAAAAGGGTCGAGTTTTTCAAGCGTAAAATGGACGGAAAAACGATGCTTTTTGCTCCGCCTTGTACAACTGTTAACGGCCAATCAGATGGCGCTGGTCCCCCGACGCACGTGATGTCCAAGGCTTCCTTTCGGAAGCTTTAGGTTTCGTATTTCTGGCATGCCTTGCTCTAGTATCTGTCGCGCGCAGTGCAGCAAGATTTGCTGATAAGCTAGTTTTAGGATATGTTACATGTTAATGGAATTCAGACACGCGCCAAGAAGTCAAACCAAACAATGTTACTAATTTTATTGTGGTAACGGCTATGTACAGTTACCCCTATTGGATAATGGGTTGTGTTTCATTTGGTTATAATAATAACTAATTTTTTAATGTGAAGTTTACAAGATATACGACTTGGACGCGAGGTCGGTCACATGACGTTCTTCACGTGACTGTATTCTTGAAAAGGCCTAAACACTGACTACTGCCACATTCCTGGGGAAAACCCTTGGAATTCCCTGGTACGAATTCATACAGAAGCGTGGTTGCAAGCCCATTTAAGGATACCCTCGCTACAACCCATCCCAGAGAGAAAAAACACGAAAAAAAATCCAAACTGTCGCAGTGACAATTTACAAAAATCTATGAATTTACCTTAGTATCTATTTGACACATCTTCACAATCACCTTTCAATGATCGGCCAATTGATCAGTGATGCCAAAGGCTTGAAATAGCCATAGGTTAATTAACAACTTCGAAAATATCTCCCGTCACGTTTATCGTGTCGGCCATTTTGACGTATTGTACTTGATGTAAATGTATTACGGCGCTCTGTCATTGTAATTGACTTACTGAGGTAATTCTGTAAAAGATCTTCTCATCTAATGAGGATATTGTTTGGAATATATTTCTTGTAAACATACTAAAACATATGTTCCTCGCTTTGGGGGGAACTATTTTATTCCGGGGTGGCCCATTAAATCTAGTAGTAAGTCAAGGCACCATGCGTGATCTGTTATTTTATGTGTTTAAATTACGATTTGGGGCGTTAATAAAATACACTGACGCAAGTATATTCTATTCAAATCAATTGGATAATTGAATATGCTTTCTTTTACATATTACATAACATCACTGCACAAAATATGAACAGTTGCAGTAACACACTACGGTAAACATCATTTTCAACTGTACAGTATTTCAGTATTTCAGTTACATCATGGTGTATCAGACTGATGTGGGATAAAAATCCGAAGTGGTTCAGGTCATCCAATGGGTGTTCGGGAAAAGGTGAGCGTATCCTGCCACACAAGTGGCACCCGTCACAAACACATGCAAGGACAAGTCAATTGTTCACCTGAACAAAGCACGGAAACACACAATGATGCCCGTCCTCAGTTTTACCGAGCATGTAAATTATTTTGTCCGTCAAAAACATGGACGAGTATAAACAATATGTTCATTCACGTAATACATGTCATACATTTGACAAAATGTATTGACTCGGAGCATTATTGTTAATCACAGCGTATGCAGTTGAACTCATCACCCATCCCATTATTGATAACCCTTCTTGAAGATCTATGAAATCAGAAGCTGCAACACTCTATCTTTTAACTGGCATGTCAGACTTCTATTTCATTACTCAGTTTTATTTGCACGGATTACTATGGAAGGGACATTGTCTCGTTGTCGCATTGTCGCATTGACGCCTTTACAAAAACAAGCAAAACGTGTCAAAATTAACAAAAGCGCGACAATTGGCCATTTGTCGCATTGTCGCGTGTTCGCATTGTCGCTCTTTGATAATGCTTTTCTTTATTTTACAAAAGGGCGACGATGCCGTAACGCGACATTTTCAAGGTCAAAATATGTCTCGTTGTCGCATTGTCGCCCCATCACAAATGTGTATAAAAGGCGTAAAGTTCAGTTATTGTTACAGTTAGGAAGTTCAACCTGATAAATGTACGTCTTGAAATGAAAACACAAGTCCGTCCGCGAGTCAATAACGTTTTATTGTGAGCTCTTCTCTAAAAGTGCTTAGTGTTCAACTCCCAGTTCAAACACGTAGTACCTCCTCAATAATCCACATACCTCCAGTGCAGTGGTCTTCCGGAAGATCTTACTCTTGACCGTATTAGACAACTGACGAGTGCACGCCTGACCTGTGACCTCGTTGCAACCCTCGTGATGTGTTTGCCGAAGGGAGAGGTGTAGGAAATGTGTGCTCCAGCCCAGCGCAGAGCTCGCGACACACTGTATACTGATGTATACAGTATATTGCAGTTGATATACTGTATACTGCATGTGATACTTGTTTGCGGAAATGTTACAACCTTCAAGATTCAAGATTCAATTTGCATATATTTCATATACAACAGACCGCCGTCATATATCACTGGAATACTGCTGAGAGCGGCGTTAAAACAAATTGTTTTCATAATGTTTTCGTCATTTAAAATAGAACCGTATACATATGTACATGTAGTACCAACTCACTCTGTTTGTTTCGAATATTCAGCAGAAAATATATTATTAACCAGGTCTTTGGGAAAAGATATCAGATTTTTATAAGCAGCCACATAGGGATGATAAAGGACCCCTCGCTGATTAGGTTCTTGTTTACTTAAGAGCAGAGTTGGCCATGTTAGATGATATAACCAAAATCCGGGAGCTCCAGCGGGGGGCAAGCTGGTCTTGTTAAATCCAGTTAAATTCATCACACAATAATAAATTAGTATTTGACATTACGGCATTTGATTATTAGGGCATGATCATGTACATGTTCACTGTAGTAATGTACACACCAGTCAACTTGATTATAATTTTTATCAAAGTGTAGCGCGGCATCAACGATTACTTTATGATAACCTCACTTGTCATCGATGTATTGACATCGAACAATGGACGGCAATTCGAAATTCTTATGGATAGCTTCAATAGCGCCGGTGTCAGTACAATTTTCCTAGTTAAAATAAGTATCTACAAAATATAATCTGAAGCAGACAAGAACAATATTTTTTTATTAATGCTTACTTTCATGGATAGAATTAAGGCAATCTAGGCTTGCCAAATCGTTCTAGACTTGAGCTGGATTCCTTTTAAATTTATTCTGTATGGTCTGGGAGACGAACGGGCGTCAGTATCGCATGGAGAACTGGGACAGCCTTAATCAGTGTAATCGGATATGTTGTGGAGTTTCGGTTTTGGGCTGTTTGCTGAATATATAGAATTGCGAGTTATGTATACTCTGTATTCTTTCGTCATGGTAGCATATATATTTTCTATGTTGCTTTTTGAATTATCCACAAATAATGATAACTACAATGTAAACCTCTCTCTGGAGATATGCAATAATACTACTGAAGGGCATATCTGAAAAAACGGGACTTCTCGACAAATATTTCTTTCTTAAATACTACCCGTTACAGGCATTCTGATCATTATATCATACTTTGTAAAGTTTAAAAGTCAAATAATGGCAAATTGTGTATCTTTCTACATTTTGAATTAATTATATTTTCTGAAATAAAACCTTAGCATCAGATAGTGATATACATGAATATGATCTATACTATTATAAATGAATTATCAATTTCGTATTATGAATTAGATAAACAGAAATATGATAGTATAACAAATTATTTTAATCTATTCTTGTGAGTAGGTAACGAGAGATCTAGGCAACGCACTAACGTAGCCATTTATGAAAAATGAAATATTAAAAGTTTAGGGGTTTGAACATGCACATTGAATGACAGGGAAGAAAGCAACGCAATAATTAAATTATGAATCAAATTATGTTATAAATATAACAGAATATTTAGAAAATATAAGTTTAATTTCTCATTGTTGGAAGGTGTTTAATAATTACATAGAGTTTGTTTGGTTGTTTGTTGTTTAACGCCGCACTCAGCAATATACCAGCTATATGACGGTGGTTCGTAAATAATCCAGTCTGGACCAAACAATTTAGTCATTATCATCAAGAGCACCGATCTACGCATTTGGGATACGATGACATGCATCAACCAAGTCAGCGAGCCAAGTCGCCTTCGTACAAGCATGGGTTTTTGAATGCCTATTCTTACCCGGATCTTCACGGGTATTTTTTTAAATAATAAGGTACAATGAAATTCTGTATATGTCCATAATAAGTGTGTATAAGTAGATGGATAATATGTCCATACACGCCAAGTAAATGGTATATGCATTAATTTAAATGCAAATGATTCAATGATGAGTTCTTTCACAAGTCCATATTTCAAGGCATGTATTTGATATTCATAATAACTCCACAAAAGCTACACAATGGCAACAAAACGGTACCATCATCACAGATACCAATAATACATGAGATACA